GCGGCTAGGTTATTACGAATGAGTTCTCTTCTCGGGCTAATGTATGCAAGGTTAATACGTGAGATCCTTTCACTCTTAGTTGGGGCGAGTTTCGTTTCATCACGCTTTAGCAGTCAAAAATACAGCTGCTTTAGCTTGGTTGCATTGCGTCGTTATTTGCAATGTGATCCTACTAATCGCAAGACGGTTCTGTCATCAGTGTTCTGTTGAATTGGAGCCGGGATTTTTGGGATCATTTTGTGCAGCCGATATACCTAAATCGAATTTCTTGCATTCTCTTTGACTGCAGTGATCGCGCGCGTAAACCCGTCCACCAATATTCCATCAAAAGCATTAAATATAATGATGCTGCACATCCCGTCGCCTTGACCGGAACCCGGCGGCAATGCGCATTTTAGGGCGGCGGCCGATTTCAGTGTTTTCGAATTAGATGTATGCAACCTAACCATTTTGCGTGAGCTTCTTGGCGTAGTCACACCTCAAGGACATTTTGCTCTAGGTGTCGCTGAGGGATGAGTGTTGTGGACTATCGCAAATCGAAATTGCGTCTTTTGTTCTGGTAAGCCGTCCAAAGTGTTGAATGCTCGCATAACCTCGTTCCTTTTAGTGGCCCGTAGTATAACTTCTCAGCATGGCAGCATTTGCAGCCCTACACACTTTGTCATAATCGTGCGTGGAATTGCTCGGTGCTTCGACTTTACTTATTCATTTGCGTGTGCGTACAATCTCTATCGACATTTTCCCCGATTCCGTTGACAACCATGGCCGCTCGGCTGAAGATCGCTAGGGAAGTATTATCAGTAATATTTTCTACGATGGTACTAAACGTCACGTTTCTCTCTAAGGAGTCTGAATGCAGGGAAATTTGCAACCTGGTTATTTCTGTCGTGGGTTAGAAGTGCATGTTCGTAAAATGCGAACAATGTGATGTAATTCAATCGCGAGATCAATTATTCGAAGAAGCAGTATATTCGACTCCAGACGGGTGACAAGCAAGGTTATCAATAGCCGAGGTTGAGTAGTTCGGCTGTCAATTTGCAGGTAGCTGCGTTTGCCAAGCGCAAAGATGGTGTCTCTACGAGTTGTCGTCCTCGTTCATTGAGAAGATCTGTGAAAGTTACTTGTCTTTTCCAGAGGTTTGGCACTACGGGGCATCATAGTCGGGGTACCATCAATCCTCCGATCAAAAGCCGCTATGTTTGCAGTGGCTAGTGGAAAATACGCAAGCTATTCTCGCTATCTTAATCTTCGTTTCGCTCAGGCATGTAGCTGATTTAGCAGACTAAGTCATTGAAGGATTACAGCCATAAACCGGCGCCAGCAACGTTAATGCCGTCCCGTCTCAAAGTACTTCCATCACTGGCTTACAGTCAACTATAGAAGCTTTGCGAACATATTGTAACACATAGTGGCTGTGTGTAACAGCTCACTAGGAGCCTTCGCTGTCACTGTTGATCAAACTCGCCCTCAAAACGCTTCATGTCTATCAACAGGCAGGCTTGATTTTGATGTCACTAACGCTTTGGTACCACAGCTCGTGTGGCAAATCCTGCAGCTTTGCCGAGAAACTGGAAAACATCTCGGCCGACCCATATTGACTACAGACAAGAGCAGCCAAAACTATGTCGCCTCATCCGTGTTAGGCGCACAACTTCCCGCACCGAGTGCATAGTCTACACGGATGCCGTAGTTAGCGTTATATTCCAAAGCTCAGATCCGGTGCTAGAACATTTGCCGAGCAGACTATGTGCTGCTAATGACACACAAATTGCAATGTTCAGCGAAAGGCTGCTGACGCTAAACATTGGCTTCCGGCGGACGTTTTGCTAATTGTTCACGAAAGCAGCCGGGCCGATTGCTAGCTTAAGCATAGATTTTCTTCAACAGTTTGCCCTTATGGTCGAACCTAAAAGGAAGAATCTTATCCACTCTCGGACACAGCTTATTGTTATCGGAACCAGCGCAAAACTGGTTGCCATTACGCCCATTCCTGCACAGCCTGAAGCGACACAGCCTTTTATAGACTCTTACAGCAACCATCACAAATTCGTTTGTGTTCCGTACGCCACCTCCTGTGACCTCAACCATCATGCAGCAAATGTCCACTAAGGTTCCACCGGTTTCGGTCCGCACTCGTGGGCTAGCCACGAAAAACCTCAAAGCTGCTAAGGCGGAATTCGAGCTAATACTTGAACTAGGAATATTCCACAATTGCAAATGTCCATGGTCATCACCATTACATTTGGTGAGGAAGAAACCCGGTGACTGGAGTCGCGGTGGTGACTACAGGGACTTTAATATAGTTGGCTTTTCGGTTAAATACCCCATACTTCATTTGCACGAATTAATTTTAGCTCTAGCTGGTATGACAATCTTTAGTAAAGTCGACCTTGTCCGCACCTACCACCAAATTTCTGGGGCGCTAGGCAATATTGGTAAAATAGTATACATCAAAATATTTGGCATTTTGGAGTACATAGAAAGACCTATCGGTCTCAGAAATGCTGCAAAATATTTAAGCATTTAGTCACAGCTTAACACCATGACTCGAAGGTGTTTATCCTTACATAGCCGACCTACTCATCGCCAGCTCTTCTTCTGACGATAGACATATTCATTAACTCTATGCTTGACGCAACAGGGGGTTGCCGTGTACCCTAATAAACGGGAGCTGGGCCAACGCTTCATAGACTTACTTGGCCACAGAATATTTGTCTCCGGCGCTGAATCAATCCCAGACAAATCCAGGCAATGAAGCACCATTCTGCTCCTTGTTCCTTTAAACAGCTGCACGAATTCATTGGCCTGGTTAACTATCATCCAGGTTTTATCTTACAAAGCGCAAACAATATGGAACAAAGGACCGACTTTCTTCGCAGTAATTAACGCTTTTTCCTCTTTTCAGACAACGACAAATTGGCTTCCGAGTAGCTCAAACACGCCCTTTATCACATCGTGCTTCCCGCGTCTCCGGATCGACCAGCGCCTCTTTCTTTGACGACTGAGGCATCCGATACGGTCGTTGGTGCAGTTCTTCGAAAACTCATCGATTATCGATGGATACTTCCAGGTTTCGTTTCGAAGCGTATGCAACTTGCTGAATTGCGCTGCAGCAACTCCGCGGACGCTTTTTCACGCATCCAGCTGGTCAGCTTATCACCTGACACCAGCCTTAAGCTCGCTGCCGTGGCTGCTTTACAACAAGCAGATCCCGACGTAGACAAGCTTTGATACAGCACAGCTTTAAATTTCGCAAACTTCTGCTGACCTCATATACGGAGGCCATTGCTTGAGGTATCACACCAACGTCACTACGCCGCGTATTCATTACGACCAGGCACCGACAAGATATTAACCTTTTGCACCATCTGTCTCATCTCGACATACGTGCTTCACAGAAGCTAGTAACGGAACTCATGGTGTGGATTGAAAGCCAACCGCGATGTCCGCATTTTTGCACGCACAGGTTCAGCGTGTCGGCTCGTCAAGGTTCACAGGCTCACCGGAAGCCCACTCGACGTCTCCTGACTCTCATTTTGTTGTAACCCTGGTCGACTTGGTTGAAGCTTTACCACTATGCAAAGGCTGCATGTACTTACTTACCTAATTCGACTGATTCACCCGTTGGACACAAGTGATCCTAATAGCTAACTGCTCATTTGGAACAGTTGCGCGAGTTTTATTTAGAATGCTGGATAGCTTCACATTATTATCCAAGCGTAGTTATCACCGACGGAAGAACATAGTTTGACGCAGCCTACAGCATACTGTCTGCCTACTTCATCGTCAGCACAACCGTACTACCGCATGCCGCCCCGCAGCTAACGGGATGGAACCAATATCCAGGCTGCAACTCAGAACAGCACAATGTGTCCAATCCAGCACATCTTGTCACGAAGCACGTTCCCTCCTTCTGAGAAGAGTCAGGAACACGATTAAAGTGGATTTGCGTGCCACTGCATATTCACTAGTCTTGGATGTACACAACAATTACCTAGTCAACTTCTCACCAAAAGCACCAAGAAAATTTGACTATACCAACTACGCAGCTCGCCTACCCATTCATACGTGACAAATTCTGCCTGTGCAATCCAAAGCCCAGTGCTTGCGTACAAACTTAGACGAATGCTCAACTACTTGCACACATCCGTTTGTTGGCACGGAGAGCGTGTGCCGGCCACTCCAACCTATTTATGCTGGCGCATGCCGTGTCATACACAAAGATGACAAGACCTTTACCATTGGCTCTATTGGCAAAATAGAAAGGAGCAAAGTTGATCGACTCAAACTTGCTTTCCTTGAATATTCTCAAGGTGCAAAGCAACAAACGCTTCCACAGTTTACTTTGATTGCTTGCGTTGGGCATCGCCAATTTGCTTGGCGCTCGTTTCGGTTTCGACGCGCGACTATCCTTTGTGCTCTACATTTTCCATGGCCTAGCCAGTGTCAGCAACGTTGTCCCTTTTCCATCGCTAGGCAGCAAATAAGCTTTTGCTGAACACATAAATGTTTCCGTGCAACTCGATCTGTCTTCCGAAATCTCTATCCTGGCTCCCGCTAAAACAACTCTTTAAATAGCCACCATTTGAAAACCACCTAAACCTACTCTTATCTTTCTGTACAGACATTCACTTTCACTGGATGATTCTGCCAAGCCAGGGAAGGTAAGGTGAGTTTACATAACCGTTCATACATCTAAAGTATGGCTGCCTGTGTACGCGAATGATTTCGGGATTTATATATATCTATATGATTGTAGAGTATGCCAAAACAGGCGTAAAGTGCAGATCGTTAGACACAGCTCTTTCGCAATGACCCAACTAGTTTCGTAGTTGTTTTACATGCATCAACGTACGTTATTTCCTGTATTCAAATACGTAAACGACTCGCACTTATTTTCTTAACAATGTCAACAAATGGCGTTAACTAGGAATGTATTAATACAAACATTGCAAATTATACATTAAGTTACTTTTAATCAAAGCAAGCATAATGGCATAGGTTAACTAAGTGTGAGTGCCTTGTCATTTGCCTCCGCATGGATAGCTGTCATCAGTAAAAATTTGTGGCGGTATGTTCTTATTCTTTGATCGAACCTCCGCTCTGTACTGCATGCACGCAATCACATTGCATTCTTCGTCATAAAGTTGATGCGTTGTTTCTCCTTCCATCTAAAATTAGTAATGAGTAGTGTATTGATTCTGTACTGAAACTGCCCCAAAATTAATAACATTATGTAAACCATAGAGTTAGACCCGCAGCCATCACAAAACAACCGTAAACCAGATGCGGAGAAAATTGTAAACATACCGGAACATCGGGTGCAATTATCGTCTTTTTGTATGTGTATACACCACCTTGTTCCAGCGGACATCCTTGTTTTATGTAGTCACAGATATCGTTTGTGTCTGCAAGTTCTCGTAGGCATCTCTTTGACTGTGAGTCGATCAGGCAAAGTTTCGCCTTCCCGGAACGAACCCTTCTTCCTATAAAAACAATAAAAAGTGCAATGAGAGGATGTCTTGACCTTAGGTAACGGAACACAAAGTTTGTGTCTCCAAAAATAAGGGCAACGTTGAGACTCATGTACCTAACCGTCACCATGTACTGTCTATACGGGCATGGCGTTGTTTCGCATTCGTCGATTGTTATACATCATAATGGAAGGAAGCTCAGAAACGTTCTACTTGTTGAAGACAATAAAACAGAATTATATTGCATGGCATGAAAAATGCACATTTCTTAAACATGGATAAACGAAATAATTATCCTACTGGGTACAGTAATCGCAAAGTTTAGATATGTTGAATAAGTGTCCATAGTATCTACACATGCTTACTTGATTGGAAGGTGATTTCAAAGGTTGCAAATGTACCTCCCTCAGAGACGCATGGCGCCTGGCTGCAATTCGTCAGAGATGCGTTGATAAGTGTTTTGTCCTCAGCTGGAATGTGCAGAAGGAAAGGCAGGTGGGAGCATTACCAACAAGCTGGCCGTTTACCTTACTGACCTGTATGCAACCATTTGCGAGACCTAACCATTGCTACTATTAGAATCAAACTTGAAAGTTCTTAATTCGTCAGAAGCATTGATTAGTCCGTAATAAAATGACACGTGGATATAGGAACTCGCTACACTAGTGGACTCATAGCAGTCACTGTAAAAGCTATCCGCCTGCAAAAGAGCGAATTCAACAACGATTATGACAGAAATCAAGCTAAACTATTTCGCATGCATGTTTGTTGAGATGCATTCTTCGCATAAGACCAACGTTATTACTTATACTTATCCGTCTTATATTGTTTATCGGCAAATCAGTCAAAAAATTGGAACATCAGCTGTGAGCGACATATTTAGGTTTTGGGAAAATTGACTTACCATGAAACATATGGTGGTCACTGGTATTGTGGATTGTGAAACTTGCTCCGTTGGCAGAAGAAACAAATGTAGGTTAGGGTTTTACCGCTAAGAATCAATACTTTGATCAACTCAATCACTGCAATTGCAATAATCGGCACGAGGTCTTTAAGAGCGAAAATGTAGGACGTGCAACGCTAAGGATTGATTATTTGAGCAAATTTGAGCAAATTCACGACAGTACATTTTTAGGCAAATGGTCTATAATATTTTCATGAAAGACGAAATAAAATGTACATGGCATTTTGAGTTAATGAAAACTCATGTTCCTTCTCAATACAATTTCAAGGTTTATTAGCGATGATATCTATGGGCCTAGATAGGTTACATTTTGCCTAGTTATATCGAAATGTTGGATCGTTGAATTTCGTGATTCAATTATCAATGCCTTTGAAGTATGATAAATATTAGCAAGTTAAATTTACGTCTTCATCAGGTTGCGTCCTCAAATATTCGATGTTCAAAGTTCGTTGGTTTGAAAGGAAGCAAATTTTCCTTTCTTGTGAAAAAGCAGATGATAATACAACGTATGAAAATGAAAGTAATGTGAATCCTAATTAGTCAGCAAAATGCGACTTAATACAGTTCAATAGTTGTTGGTATACTGGAAGATAAAACAGTAATACTTTCCCAGCAGAGTATTTACTTGCGTTTATCCCAATTTTGACTTCTTATGATTACGCAATAAATTCCACTTCAATACCACCTTCTATTGTCATCAAAATCTGTCTAGGTAAATACTACAGGGGAGCTCGTTTGATGCCTTTAAAATGGTCGCACCCAATTGTTCTAGAACACCATTTCCACCGAAATGGTTCCAGCCCGAGCAAACTCCACGAATCATTCCATGCCAGGTTTAGAGTGGATACCGTTTACTTAGATTTCCTTAAAGTATTCACCTTAACAAGCTCGAAACCTCTTGAAACCTTCATTCTACCCTGCGTTGGATTAGCATATTTTTCACGCCAAGTTTGCTGAACGCGAGGATTTGGAGCTGCATTTCCTTCTATATTAAGGAGAACTGTTTCGAACTCTTTGTGTCGGGGCCGGGACAAAGTTGTTTCCTAGTTTTCACCAACGAAGTTGCCAGTATGCAACAGTGGAAGTTTCTAGCACATTCTGACCATGAAAAAATCTGGCAGACCAAAACCAGGGTGGACAATCACATGGTACTTGAGAGTGAACTCGACAGGACTTCTTACCCGTCATGCGAAAGCCACATTCTGTTTAACGCCACGCAATGCTGAATTGCGAATATAACGTATCAGCGGCTTTATGCACATCGACAAAAAGACCAAAAGTTTCAACATTATGCTCAAGAAAGGGAACTTGAAGTAATCGTACAATATGACTTAGGCTGAACGAAGCAGGACAGAAGCGCGTGGATAATATCCATTTGATAACTTGGCCACCAAGCACGACGATCTGAAGTTTTGAGTCATTTAGCTGCCACTACTGAACGTCCACTGTAAAGCCTATTGTGGAATATACAATCCAAACTGGAGAAACGTGATGCGAATAGCCTGAAACCACAAGACGATCGGAGATGGAAAGTGCTAGAGGCAATTGCAACGCAACCAATTCAAACAGTAATAGGCTCGTGCAGCTGTGAACATCAGCGCTTACAACGGCTTAGCCTGGTGTACCTACTGCCGTCGACCCTTGTTTATACTGCATAAAATACTTAGGTTAATGCACACACTCTAAACAGAAGACGCACTAGAGTACCTTTTTTAGCAAAGATTATGTTGTCAGATAAGGAGATTGCAATGAAATATCTCTGAAATATGTTTTATTCCGCCGCGTCTACTGAAACTAGAAAGTCCTTACGAGTAACGACCTAGTTGCTACCATCTTGAAGATGTCCAAAAGGAGGATGACACCTTTCCCTTTTATATTACGAGATATGGCCTTTTTTGAAACAAAAAGGAGGATAAAATGAATCAGAATATGTGCATCCCAGCCTTCTCCATTACGTAGTGCTGAGCAGACCACCCTGTGGTTTCGTGTAATTACAGCAGTGAAGCAAGTATAACCAAAATGTCCCTTTCTCGCCTATCAATACAAACTTTCATTTTAAAATCTATAGGTGAAAATTTTCAAGCATCAGCTTTCTACCCATTACAAACAAATGCTCAATTTTATGCCAATAACACCCATCAATATGAGAAACACACTTTATTTTCTAATGACCATTCAGTAATTAACCTTGTGCCACCAATTTAATATCGCTTCTTTCAGTTTATTTGTCTGTAAAACATGTTCCCTGGAACTCGTATTTTGAGGAAAATCGCTAGTTGCATGCTATTCATCCTCCAGTCCATACACACTGCATTTATCTTTAATCGCTACCCCAATAGAGAAGTGGCGCGATTTTTTATCCTAAAACTCGTTGGTCATTTTAAGTGTTTATAACCTGGAAAAACTTAGCCTGGCTTGTATTGCATTTCACTGAATCAGTTCGTTTGAGAAGCTATTGTATTTGCTGAATTCACGTTGCACAAACTTGTACTTGATTGAAAGGCTCTACAGCGCAACGATACAAAAATAGGATTGATTGATTTTAATTTGTGCTTGGACAGAAAGCTTAGCTGGTCTCTAAATGCTTATGTTGTCTTGGCCATGATCCATATAATTTTGCATAGCGCAGTTCTTTATTTACTATGCCAATGGAAATATCATGATTAATAACATGCGAATGCGTTGTGTCTTCCTATTATGGTTGATCGTGAGTCTTAACAATAGTAATAGTTTGAAACGATCATTTTCCTCTATACTTAGAAACATACAACTCAGAAGACAGCTTGTGCAATGACAACGTCCTAGCTTGCGTTTTTATTAATCACAGAGACATACAAGTTTGAAACACATACGAGAGAGTATCATAGATAAGAGAAAGCATAGGCTACCGCGGTTGGTTTAATCACGGTTAGCCGTTTTTTATCGCTCAGAGATGGTCGTTTGCTATCCATTCCGATAGCCTCTAATAGCCTACGGAGTTGGTGTAGCAGATAAGACTTTAGAGCTGTAAACAACACCAGGATCGATGCGCTGACAGGGAGTTAGCAAGTGTCCAGCGACTGCTGTGGCAGCTCGGTTTGCGAATCAAACTATTCTGTCTTCAC